TTGAAACGTTCCTAAGTTTTGGGGCATTCCTAGGTTAAATCTCGTACTTCGTTGTATTGAAGAAGTACCAGCTCCATTCATATTATTAAACGAAAAACTAGGCGGCCTTACACTCATATGCGGACCTGCATATGTTGTTACGGGGTTTCCCGTAGTTTGCATATTGTTTGACATTACAGTACTAGACCCTAACTGAGTATTTGTTAATGTCCCTAGGCTTTGTTCAGTACTCACAGGCATCAACGCACTCACAGTTGTCGATATTACAGGCATATTCCCATTGTGAACTTTCCCCCCAGTGTTTGGTGGATTTGAACTATTTGGAATCTCACTGTTATTCTGACTATTCGGTGGATTTTGACTCATTCTTATTACTCATCCACTCCTTAATCTCATACACTTTCGAACTAGCCAATTTTTTGTGTTTTTTGACACAACGAGGTTCCCTACCTGGCACACCAATTTGTTTCTGGTGGAAATTTGATCGATTTCGATTAAATCAGAGACTTGGGTTCTAACCAAATTTCAACCACGTAGATTCTTTTTACTTAGACTAGCAAACGGTTTTCAATCGAAACATGCATGAGAATTGAAAATCCCATAGTATCGAAAAACGCTAACAATACAACCTAGTGTGTGGATCGCTAATCGAAAGTACTATTTTTGGTATTTTTTATTAAGAAGCGCGAAGTAAAGAAAACAGCAAAGGGTATCGAAATGAAAAACAGTGCAGAATATTAAATTGCAGAGAAATGTAAATGACAATGAATTGAAATTACAAAAATGTAAATGACGAAGAACTTAAACGTAGAATTTTAACTTGCATAAAGGTAAAATGACAAGGAATTAAAAGTGCATAAACTTAAAGTTGGTAAACGTAAATTGCATGAACATAAATTACCAGGGAAAGTAAAGAAAGCAATAAAGACAATAAACGATAATGGAAATCCAGAGCATTAGAAACTTCATGATGTGTCGTTCTCCTGTAGACTTTTCACTAACGTTTCTGTTCTCCCTGCCAATTTCCCTCTTTCCTTCACTCTTCGCTCTATTTATAGAGCATCCTTCAGGTAACCTCCTGAGAGCAGTTAACGAAAACTGCTACCACGTTCTACGTGCACGTCCCTCGAAGTTTTACTTTAGTTATACGGTTTTAGAAAACTGTTTCCACGTTCCATATGCGTTTAACCGGTCCTCAATTTATAACTTAGCCATAATTTCGATAGTCATGTAGGTTAACCTTTCCCTCGATCTCGATTTTAAATCTCGAGAACTTTGAATTGTTTTTTATTCCCCTTAATCTTAACATTACACTTGATTCTAATTTCTCGATTTTCTTCAACAATTGACATCAAATATTCTTCCTTCGATTCTCGATTCCAATTCTCGATTTATATGTTCATACTATCACGTGGTCCTCGAATGTCTTCCAACCATCTTTTCGATTTATCAATTTTTTAACCAATCATATAATCCTCGATTTTTTTTCCTCGCTTTTCGATCCCTATATTGATTTTTTCAGTAACAATATGATATTTCATTTATCAAACTAAGGTTATGCTTATCTTTATGTAATTTTGAAAAAAAAAAAAAATTGTATTGAATGTTTTCTCGACCCAATTACATCCCAAGAAGGAGTATGTTCGTGCTTTTCATATACTTTCTACTCATTTAACTGTTGTTCAGATATTTAGTATATTCTTTTACTTCTTTTTTTATTAAAAATCTTTAAAAATGATGTATTGAATTTCAATGAGCTGCTTGCATCATCGAACTTTACTATACCTGTCCTAATCATCTTAAAAATAATTTAAAGATACTTCTTTAAAGTCCAAACTCTTAAATTTGACTCATTTTTGGTATAAATATTTCTATTGATAATATTTTATCAAATATAATTTTAAAGAGGGATGGTATTTAAATTTTTGAGAAATTATAAAAATTAATAAATTATTTGAATCTATATATACATATTTTTTGTATTTATTTTAATAATTACAAAAAATATTTTGAATTTCATAAGTTTTATTAAATACTTATTTTAGAAAATAAGCTAACTAATCTTTTATTTGTAATAATATTATAATAAAAAATAATTTTTTAGTTTTTCATATAATAATAATAATTGTACTTCATCTTTCTCATATAATTTGATAAAATATGACACTAAACATGAATAAAACAAAATAATAATCTCATACAATTTTATATATATTTACTTATTTCAGCGATTATATATATAAATAATAGTTCATTTATTTTTTATCAATCGTTTCCACCGTTACTTTTATATATATATATATATATATATATATATATATATATATATATATATATATATATTTATAGGTAGAGTATTCTATATTTGTAGTTAATCTAATTTTAAATTACATTTTTATGAAAAAAAAGACTGGAATAAAACTTTTACTTAGAATATCCACCTCCCAATCCACTTTTAAAATATGATTTTTTATATATTGTTTCAAAGTGATATTTTGTTAGGTGTAATTTATTTTAGTCATTTTTACTTTAAATAACAAAATATAACAAACATGTTCAAATGAGCAAATTTCACAAAATTAAATATCTAATTAAGATATAAGTTTTCAGTTTCTTTCCCCAACCAAATAGTCTTGAAGTTAACAACAAACCAACAAAAAAAACTTAATCGTAATTTTTTTTCTTACCTGTTAAATAATCTTTATATAACTAAATTTAATTTATTTTAACTATTATTTATAAGGTATATAATATTTTTAATTAAAAATGTCATTGTTTTGTTAAAATATTTATAGACCAATTTGACATGTAACAGAATTAATTCAAACTTATTTTAAAGATATTGATATTAATATGTTTACATTTTCAAGGTGTTAAAAATTTATTGAATTATTTTGTATATTTTAAAAAATAACTCAATAATTAAACCAAACACTGTTAGTGTTTTTATTCCAGAGATTCTGAAATTAACAAATCGCATAACTTATAATTGAGAATACAAATACAGGCCATGAAGTTAACTTTATAAATGTTGAATTTGATTTAATTATGGAATTTAAAGTTAGAAATTGATTTGCTTGCCTAATATAAGACTTCTTCGAGGTTTGACCTTATTTTTATTTTAAAAAACCTTTTGAAAAATAGGGTCTTTTAAACAAGTACCAAAATGTCTTTAAAAAATTATTTAATGTAAATTTATTTATACCTTGTTATGTTTGATTTTTTTTCAAAATAATTAAACTTAAATTAATTGTCATTGATGAAGAAAAATATTAATTATTACATTATTTTAGTAAAAATACATACATTATTGTTGTATAATTATTTTTATTTTATTTTTACTCTTAATGTATGTAGATGTTATTTTTCTATTTATTATAATATATAATATTTTATAAAATTTTCTGTTTACTAAATTTTTAAATATATAAATCATAATATTTTTTTATAAAATTTTTATAATTTATAACAATATAAACCGATTTTTATGTTACCAAAGAGAAAAAAATAATAATTTACGTTTATGTTATATTTTTCTTCATAATTTATTTTAGTTCTATGTTTCCTTCAATCTTTTATCTCAAATACAAATATATAAATAAAAAATAAAATTATATTTTTATTCCCTTAATTACATTATATGCATAATATATTTTGTTCTCCCTCTAATAACATTATACATGGTTATAAAAGGGTTTTCTATATTATATTTTCTTTTTATAAATCACACATGGTATTTATTGTTCTCTTTCATATGATAAAAAAATATTATAAAAATAACATCTTCTTTATTTATACTAGGGAAAAGACAATGCTTGTATATTCATTTTTTTTATAATTAATTTCTTTAAAATATTATTTTAATGTGTTATTTTTTTTAAATATGTCAACTTTTTTTCCTTTTAACGTATTTTAAAAAAATTTAAATGTATAAATTATAATAACTATTTTTTTCAAACTGTAATATTTATATTTTTCTCTCTAATAATAATATCAAGAGTTATTAGAAAAAGAAATCTTTATATATATATATATATATAATGTTTTTTTAATCATATGTATGAGTAATTAGTTAAGGACGTAATATTAATAAATGTATTAATAAACTATAAACATTGAAAATTGATTTTTCTTTAAATGTTCTAAGTGAATAAAATGTATTTATATTATTTTTCCTTTTTAAGTTAATACTTTAGCAATTTTGTTGAAATGGAAAGGGATAGTTTCTCATAACGTTATTTTTCTCATCACAATTAAAGCTAATTAAAAGAATCATTGAATTAAAAAAATCTGAAAACATAGACAAATACTACCTTAAGGAAGAGACTTAAGAGAGTTTTGGTGAATACAATTCCCAATTGTTATTCACACCCATAGTTTTAATTATATACAATTTTTTTTCTTTTTCTTTTTAAATAGTTTTTTCTCCTGAAACTACTTTCTAAATATGTTAAATTTTCAATATATTTAAAAATGTTAAAACACAAACACACCCTGAAAAATACTCTCAGAAGACAATCTTTAAGAAAAAAATGAGACTACTTGTCTTAAAAAACTTGACCTTTTACATTATTTAGTCTTCCAGAAATATAAATTAGTAAAACTTGGATTGTAAATAACAATTCACAGGATTAATAACTTCTTAATAAAAAAATTGAAATTAAACTTTTTATATAATTAAAATTAACTTACGTTAATTCTTCAAAAAGTCTCACATATAGAATCTCCACATTTTTGCTTTAACTTATTAAAAAAATATTATTTATTTAATTTTTCCTTTGTAACGAAGAAGTTCGATTAGCAAGCCCATCATAGAAAGGCCCGAGTACTAGCCCCAAAAACGTTTTCGGAAAAAATAAAAAATTGAACGGCAAGCATATCCCGGTGTTACCATTTTCCGGCGATTATCTCTGCTCTCTCTGGACAGTGTGCGAGCAACTCCACTTTGAAGGGTGTGGCACGAGAAGTGTAGCAGAGGATTCCGCATCCAAGAAAACGCAATGCAAGCTGCATCTTCAGGAATTGGATACGGTCTCAAATATCAGGTCCAACCCACAACCCTCACAATTTTTTCTCATCGATCTAGTTACTCCATTTCTTATACTCTGTGTTATGACAGGCTAGATGCATATCGGATGTAAAAGCAGACACAGATCACACTAGCTTCCTCGCTGGCACTCTCAGCCTCAAAGAAGAAAACGAGGTACATCTTCACATTTTCTCTCGCTCTTCAATTTCCCTAGTTCGCGTTTGATCCGTGTGAACAATCATAGAATGGTTCCATCTTAGGTACATCTGATTCGGCTCTCGTCCAGTGGAACCGAACTCTTCTGCGAGGGATTGTTTTCTCACCCCAACGAGATCTGGGACCTCGTCTCTTGTCCGTTTGATCAACGGATCTTTTCCACTGTCTACTCTAACGGTAATCAACCTCGTCGTCTAACTTTCTATTTGTGTATGCTTGTTCATATTTGAGATTTTTTTGGCGCGTGCAAGTGTTTTCACTTATGTAGAGGTAGCTTGTACTGTTGGTTTGGAAAACTTCTGATTGCCTTGTGTTCAGGTGAAACGTTTGGGGCAGCAATATGGCAGATACCTGAGTTATATGGCGAGTTAAATTCCCCTCAGCTAGAGAGAATTACCTCCCTTGACACTGATTCTTGCAAGATTAAATGGTGAGTTTGAAATTCTCGTATGCAGACTTGTTTGCTCTAGACTCTGGAATGATCTGTCTGTTTAATCTTTCATCCTTTTGACAGTTTGGCTTCTATTATGTGCTTTGTCATTACCTGAGGTTTAGATAATTATCTGAAATTGTTGAAACTGTTTATGTAGGAAAGTAGTTAGATTCTAAGCAAGGTGTGAGGTCTTTAGTTTACATTACTGGACTACACTTTTGGCTATATCCTACAAAGGTTGCTTGTATAATTTAGGCTTAAATGTAGTCTGGTTCCTCTATTATGACAAATATGTGTGATTGCCTCTGATGATTTTTTGAAAAGCAATCAATTTCTCCATTTGTTTAATTAACGAAATCAGATCTTAGTGGTTTGTTGTTCAATTAATAACAGAAGTTAGTGGCTGACAATTTACATGTGGCAGGGCATTGTACTGTGTTCACTTATTAATGATCTCACTGATCACTTTGACTTAATTAAATCCCTAATAAATAAAATATCTGACGACTGGTTTAAGTATAATGAAGTCGTATATTTAAATAGCTTAATACTTCCAGTGGGTTCATTAGTTGCTTTACTCTTTAAAATGTCATGTAATGTATGTAAATTGTTGGCCATGTCACTAACTTCTCTATGAGTATATGGGCGTTAGATTGACAAGAAACCTGAACTTTCAATTAGAAAAGTTGAGGGATTTGATTGCTGTAAAAATATTGGGTACTCAATATTGGGATAAAAGAATGTAATTAAGCCTATGTGTAATCTTTAATAATCTTCCTGTTTACCACATGTTTATTAAAACCTTTTAGTTTGATACATTGATGTGCATTCCTTACTAAATATTCCCCACCAAACAGTATTCTTTGGTGGCCATCTGGAAGACATGATAAATTGATCAGCATCAATGAGGAAAATCTGTACTTGTGGAATCTAGATGTTTCAAAGAAAACTGCACAGGTATGAAGTGCATGTCATAGTATACTTTTTGTGACACAAGTACATAGATAAACAATTGCATATGTACATACAGGTAATAGATATTGGTGCAAAGTAACATGGTTTCATTATTCTAGGTACCATAACTTTTTTTAATGAACAAGTAAATGAACCCTATAATGGTTGTAGGAAGAATTCATGATGATTTGGCAAAGGTAAGCAATAAAACATCATTTGCTCTTGTGCAAAAATTAGGTGGATAGTTTCTCTCTTTTCTCTAGGCATCTATTTTTTGAAAGTAGTTGGAAAATATTTTACAATTTACATTTCTACATTTGTTATGTATCATCAATTAGTCAGTTCATTTTTGTTACTAAATCTTATAATGTTATTTGAATAAGAGGCATTATAGAAAATTAATGGTTGAAGATGAGTGAAGAAAATAGGTCAATGGAACCTGAAACAAATTTTGATGCCTTGTCCATAATGGATTTAATTTTGTTCCCTTATAACAGTCAATTAATTGAGTAGGAAAAACTGATATTGTTATTAACTTCAAGTCTCATTGCAAGTCAAACCCCAAAAATTTTTCTAGGAAGTTGGTGGTAATTAATATTATATGTAACTGTGGTTCATATATTTAGGACTCAAGATTTAGTTCAGAGTTAAATAATCATAGACCTGTGTGATTATAATCGCTACTATCTGTAAATGCCTGGCTTTTTTGTGATTTTTACGTAGCTCCTCCACTGCCTTCCCATATATTCAAACAAAACCTCAGGTACAATCACAAGATTCAGCTGGTATGCTGCACAAGTTATCTGGAGGGGCATGGGATCCCCATGATGTGAGTTCTGTTGCTGCAACTTGTGAATCATATCTCCAATTTTGGGATGTCAGAACAATGAAGTACGTAATGTATATAATAACATCATTCAGTTTTTACTGATTTGATCTTAGCTGTGACATGATAATCTTCTATCCCGTTGAGCAGAAATGTGATTTTGTAATTGCATAGTTTACTTGTTTAGTTTAGTTTGAACCTTGAATTATGCTGTAATATGATCTTTTGCATCCAGAAAAATCATATTATATTCCCCTTAAACCAATTAGCTTTTTTTCTGAATTGGTATCCAGTTTCATTCATGCTGACAACATTCTTGTTGAATGACAGGAAGACTATTTCAGTTGAATGTTCTCATGTATGCAGTGTTGATTACCATCCTCAGAAGCAGCACATACTTGTAAGAGCTGAATTTTGTGTTCCTCAATATAATGATACATGTTTATCCCTTCACTCACTATAATATGTGTTCTTTAACATTTTTTGAAATTTGCGGATGGTTTTTTGCGGACTGTCAGTGTTTGTTGACATTCTATTACAAATACAAATAAACCCATCCTAGATAACTATTCTAAATTTTGTTTTCCTTGTATAGAGTACTTTGATTTGCCTACTTGCTTTTTTTCACATCTATTACATGTGATTTTACAGAAGCAACTGCCTTATGAGATAGTAGTAATCATCCACCTTGTTCATGTTGGCAAAATTCAATTGCTATGTTTTGTACAGGTGACGGCAGAACATGAGTCTGGAATACATATTTGGGATCTAAGAAAACCTAAAGTTCCCATCCAAGAGCTTCCCGGACATACTCATTGGTACCTACCATGTATAGTTGCAGAACTGATTTTATATTTTAGCAATATTCCCAGTCCAAAAACCTTACAAGGTTCCAATTTTCGACCATCCCCACAGTGGAAATATGAAAGAAGCAAAAGACCAAAAAAGGAAGCAAGGGAAAACAACTGCCCTATTTTCAGTTCTTGCCATATATTGTTAAAATCATTCTCCAAAAACACAAATAACTACTTTTTTTGTTTTTAATTTCATTAAAATCTTGCATCTAAAATGAAAATATACTATTTGATATTATTTTTCAGACATCTGATTGGCAGTATGTATTCCTTGTATTGCCAGGACATGGACTGTCAAGTGTAATCCAGAGTATGACGGAATGATCTTGGTTCTCTCTCTCTCTCTCTCTCTCTCTCTCTCTATCTCTCTCTCTCTCTCTCTCACACACACACACACACAAAGAGGAATGCAGTTTCTCTAAAGTTTTTCTAAATTGAAGGGTGTATCAATCCTTGATTTATTTTAACGTGGATGGGGAGCTTAACCAACTCAAATTTGAGGGTGAATACTCCCGTAATTGCTTATTTTAGATATGAACTTGGTTTAGCGAAGCTTTTTCCCACACCCACGTGTGCAGAATACAAACATGCATTTTTAATGGCTTCTAAATCTCTTGCTGGTGTCCATTTATTGGTTAAAGGTGGTCTGCATACTAAATTGTCATGTAGGGGGCATTTGGTTATTTGTCATGGATTGTGATTGTTACAGAGTGCTGGTACGAATTCAACTGTCAACTTGTGGCTTGCCTCAACGAATCATGAGGAGTTAACAACTGAAAGGTCATCTTGTTATCTTATTATATTACTATATTACATTGTATTTTATGGTTACTTGTTTTGTTTATTCATCTATGCTTACTTTTTACCAGACAAGTAGATTCATCTGCCCGATGGGTTGATCCATTGCTTAATACATACAGTGATTATGAAGACAGCATTTATGGTAAGAGGTTCAAGTTTTTTAATACATGACCTTTATAGTTGTCTGGAATTACATCATGTCAAATTTGATCCTCATTCGAAAAACGTATATAATTGTAGTTTCTGCTTTTTTCTTGTGAATTTTGACATGGTTTTTAGCTCTAACATACACAACTTCATTCCAATTTCCAAGCCCGCAGATAGACTTTCTTCACGAATTTTTTATTCATGTTACAGGGCTCACGTGGAGTTCTCGTGAACCATGGATCTTTGCATCATTATCCTATGATGGCAGGGTAAGACTACTAGTAAATCTATAGGGTATTCTCAATGGAAGATGATAAATTCTCTTCATGAAAAAAAAAAAAATCAGAAAACATTAAATTCTACTTTGTGTGTTAAATTGCTCGGTTTCTTATTTCTTACTGTAATTACATACTCGTTTGGGAATGAACTTTCCTGGCAGTAGGGGCGATGTTTTAGTATTTGATCCTTGACTTAGGCCTTGGGTTGGGTATAATAATGACAATCTAAATCAATGACTTTCTGAGATCATAGATAACAAGCCAATTGTTGTTTCGTGCAATTTACTTGCCTACATTTATCAATAATCATCACATTAATTTGACATTTCGTTTTTGAACAGGTTGTTGTAGAATCAGTTAAGCCTTTCATCCCCCAAAAATGAAGTTCAGCAGCAATTATCGTGATGCGAACATTTGTCATCCTCTTGTGTATGTTAGTAATTTCCTGTCTCTCGGGCCCACCCAAATGTTTTATTACATCATGTTACCGATGGTGGGTTTGATGAGGCCGAACATTACATGTGCATTCCATCTTTTGACGAGAAAGCGTTGATAGCTCATAAATCAATATTTTTTTGTTTTTTTCTTTGTTTATCTTTTGACTTTGAATTGTTTTAGGCTGGATTATATTTCTAGCTTATTCTTTGATTACACATCCATATCATGTAATTCGTGGAGTCATTGTATAATCTATGGAACTACAAATTCATACAAGTTCTTTCTTCGAGGAAAGGTAATATAACCTCTTCCCTTATTTTATAAATTGATTGTAATTGGGAGACAGAAAAGTGCTAGCTGAATGGGAAGTTTTAATTTTGCTGCCCCGTGCCAATTGATTGAGAGTTTATTATTATGACTTTTAAATCAGCAGGTGTAAAAGCTAATTATACATTAATATTACTGATTGGATGATAATAATATTACATACATTTTTATTTAGTTTTGCACTTACATCATATAATATTGTTTTAAACTAAAAAACATAATTTATTCTTTGTTCTATTTGTAACTAGCTGGTTAATAATGGTTAGCTTGAGCTACCTCGCCTGGATGCGAGTGATGTAGTAGGTGTGTCTAATTTTAATCCATTGGGCATAATTAGTTTGATGAATGTACAGCTACCTAAGTGTTATCAACCGAGGAAATAGTCACGTTGACAATCATTTCTTGTCCATGTAGTTGTTAGTGTGTGAGTGTGGTGGAGAATTTAAGGAATGAGCATTTGGATTTCACTCTTCTCTCAGTCTTGACAACAAGGCCAAAACAGCGGACTCTAACAACCAAATTTGATAAATTCAAGGATTTATGTGATTGCTGAAAGCATTTACTTCAGTGAGAGTATTCAATCATATCCATAAATGGATGTCACTTCAGGAGCCTCCTAATCCTATGAAGTGGTGACTAAATTGTGGTCCTTAAAGTAAGAGAAAGAATTTAATAGGAAGGTTGAGTTGCATTGTCTTGCCCTATCATCTATGAGGCTATGCTCTTTTTGTTCTGACTCTGGCATGAATGTAATAAAACACTTAACATTGTTTGGTTGGCTTCTCGTCAAGGTGCAATAGGAGTGATTTCATTTCCTATATTATTTTGTTTGCGTGCACCACGCTAAGAGTTTAATGACCATGTGTTTTCTGTCATGTTTGTTACCACGCCAGCTCGCACTAGGATTGAGTCAGCTTCTTATCCACCATTTCTTAATCATTGGTCAACAGGTGCTTTGAAGTGTCATCGTGGTGAAACTAAAGACACGTGCGTGCCGAGACAACATTTAGTAAAGGGTGAAAAGTAAAGGTACAAGCAATTTTCAGTGACTAGACTTGAGACTTGGGGCTGAGGTATGGATAAGGTGAGAAGACTTAGCATTCCAACAAGGATAGCTACGTACTTTCTGCTGCCGTGTCGGTATGTCCCTGTGGCCACACTATCCATTTTGTCCATTATCTTATTTGTGGAGTAGCATGTTTGCAAATTGTGCGAGGAAGAGAGGATGTTGCATCACTCAATTTATTTTTATATTTTATGGAGATTTAGTTTGATTTCATATATTTTAGTTTTGGTTGATTTCATGGTAACATAAAATTTGAATAAATTACATTAATGTTATTTGATTTAATTTTGCTTCATTTTTATATTTTTATTATTATAAATTTATTAAATATTTTTTAAAATTATTAAATATTTTATAATAAAGTATGTCACATAAAAGAAGTATATTATAATTTTTATGATCATATTATGTTCATAGTTTAAAATTTGCTATATTTATAGATAAATTATGTAATTTTATAATTAAAAATTACAGTACAAAGTTTATGGTATTTTAATAAATATAAATGTTATAAAAAATAATCTTTAAGATATATTCATTTATATTTATTGATTAAAAAATATCTTTCAACATATAATATTATATTTAGATACAATAAATGATTTAGTTGGATTTAATTTAAATTTTTATTTTAAATATAAAAAAAATTATATCACTTTAAAAAACAATATTGATTTTCAATTATTTTTTTGATAAATTGATTTTAAAATTCTTTGTTAATGCAAATTTAGTAACAGTTCTTTAGAAATAATTAAAATTTTATTTTTATTATTTATAATCTTAATAAATAATAATAAAAATAAATTAAATAATAAGAGTATCAGTTTGTATATTATTACTGGTGTGTATATATATATATATATATATATATATATATATATATATATATATATATATATATATATATAATCATAATCTATTTTGGAGAGTGAAACTCTTTGTATCTTTCAATGTGTTTAATTAAACATTTATATAATAGTTTTAATCTTTGTACAGTGTAAATTCTTTTATTCCAATTAATCTTATAAACAATTAAAATTTGAGACTCTTTTAATTTTTATAATTCACTGAAAATTTACCTTATCATTACATCAATATTTTTTCAAATATTATATGTGAAGTTAAAACATTTGATATATATATTTTTATAATTTAAATAATATGTGACCAAATTTTCATACTTTAAAAATACGGAAACCAATATTCAACAATTAAAAATGACACCTGGGCAAACATTAGTAATATAATTGCCATGTTAATAAACTTTCATTTTCACTGAAAAAGTTCAGTTAATATCTCTTGTAAAGTCGTCACATATAAATTATACTAGCATTCTTCAAGTTTATTTGAAAGGGAGAATTATATATATATATATATATATATATATATATATATATATAAAGTTATAATAATTTATAATAAAAATACAAGTATAGTGGGTCCATAATTTTTATATAATTTTTTGTTTTTAAATATATTTTTTTCTCCTTCTCATATTTTTACCATGTTTTAAATATATAAATTATAATAACTATTCTTTCTTTAAATTATAATATTTTTAATTTTCTCTTTCCGATTATATTAAAAATATTACAATTTTTTTTAAGTTATATGTAATATAATATGAAAAAAATATATAAAATAACATAATTATTTATAATAAAAGTTTAGTTTATACCACTTATGTGCCGTAAAATGGTCATACGTAGATTATGTTCCCAGTCATCAAGTTTATTTTTAAGTGATAATTATAAAAAAAAAAAAAAACTGATGATTGTATGTGTTGTATAATATGAAAAAAATTGTAATAACTAAAATATTTATAGTAAAAAGTGGAAGCAGATGTAAAATATACTATTTTTACTGCTTTCATGTGTTTTTACTTTGATACATATATTATTAGACATTACAAATATAGTCTATGGGATTTCTATGTTTAAGTTGATTTATGAACACATTATTCTGAAAAATATTTTTAGAAATTTGATAAAGAGATTAAAGAGATTATAATGTAAAAGAATAATTACTCTATTTTTTGATAAATTTGTATATTGCATTAAAAATAATATAATCAATTATTATAAATAATAATTAATTTAAGTATTTTTTTATTAGGATATATAATGTTGTTTTCAAAATTGAAATTAAAAAAAATAAAAATAAAAATAAAGAATGCGTACTTTACTAAGAAATTCAAAATTTCTTCAATGTTGTATTCTTAAACATATTTTGAATTTAACAAAACGAAGGTTATTTAAATAAATGATACTTAAAAATTCTTCAAAAGAGAAACTTTTCTTTTTCACCCTTAATGTTTTATAATTTAGTAACCTTTAGGTGATATATTTTTTCTTAAACTCAATTTCGTTCGAGTTGATCTACACCCAAGTTTTATGTGTTTGAGTAATAGGTTTATATATATATATATATATATATATATATATATATATATATATATATATATATATATATATATATATATATATATATATATACGAAAAAATGTAATAGTTTTGAATATGTAGCGTATTACTAGTAACATAATTATAATTATTTACATAAGAGTGAAACAGTTTGTTTCATTTTGATTGAATTGAATTAAATGTAAACGGAGAACAAAATCCAACAAACTAAAATATTTTATATGGTTTTTCTTTTATTTTTTTATTGTTATTTTAAGTATTGGAATTACATTTAAAATTGTCGTTAAATGATTAAAAAATAATTTTAAAACAACAAAAGTTTTATATTTCAATAAAATAAATATAAAATAAAAAATGATTATTGATAAAGAAAAATCCTTTTTAGACAAATCCAACATTTACAAAATACTTATTCTTATTTTATCTTATGTGATTTGCATACAAATTCCAGACATAAGTATAATAAAATTTTGTTTAACGATGTCAAATATTTGTTTTTTTTTATCTCTTTACTTAATATTTCAATTGTTTTTTTTTTAATTTATCATTCTTTTATCTTTAAACTGAATTTCAATGCTTTTGATTTTTTTTTATCTTATTAGAACATATATTATCTCTTTATTGTATTTCTAAAATATAATTTATTTCATTTTATGTTTAATTCAGTTCGAGAAATGTGGTCCTAATTGGAGTTTATCCACAAGTTAAATAATTTTAAAAAATAGTACTCTAACTAATAGCTGATTTTGTGCTCCTCATCCAACCAAGATACAGACGAAGGTTGTAGGAGTGACACGTGTCACGACCAAAGTGGAATAAGGGTTAAGGTCACAAATGTTGGTGGGACCCACGTGCTCACGTGTATATGTATATGGGAGTAAATCTCGGGATTCTAAGCATGATCAAAGTCCTGCCGGATCTGATCTCATCTCCCCCTTTCTCTCTCTCTCCTTTCTTCCCCTCTCTTCCATTCTTTACCACTCCGCTCCTCTTTTCACCTCTCTTCCCCTCTCCTCAAATTCCACATTCTCACTCTCCGATCAAATGCTTCAAAGCAACGGTTCCACTCACTCACTCCCACTCTCTTTCTCGTCCTCGCTCAACAAATACCCCACCGCTTCCAGTTTCGTGCGCATTGCTATCATCTGAGCACTCCGCTGCAGAATTGAAAGGGCGAAAAGCGAAAACGCGGTCACACGATTCACCGCACTATCCTTCGCTACCTAATTCGTCAATGTGATTTGGCATTCATCAATGGCGGCGAGTTCTAGAGGCTTTTCCACCACGCAGTTCGATTTCAAGTTGAGAGTAGCGCCGCTCAATGTTGTTCCGCTTCCGAAGAATCACGTTCTGGAGTTAGCTCCGAGGAAGCGTAGGAAGCTCTGTTTCGACTTCGCTGATCGAGTTCGACTCGGAAGTGGCGCAATTTGGTGCTGCTGTTCTGACTCGGTTACTCCGATTCGCAGAACGAGTGGACCTGGCAACGGCGGGGATAAGAACGAGGAACGGAGGTTCGATACCAAAAAAAACCCTCACATTCACCGAGTGAGGGTTCAGGCCTCTCCTGCTGCAATGCCTTTCGCCTCTCCACCGTACGTTTATTATTAAAATCGTTGTTGTGTTCATTGCGTGAAAATTCGTTTCGATATTCTGGTTTCAGAACTTTGCGTCTTCTCTAGAATCTCTAGATTGATGGAAAATGGAATATAAAAAATAAAAGGATAGTAGAAGTGTTTTGGTGCGGTTTTCATATTCTATTGGATCTATATTTGGTAGAAGTTACTTTCATTACAGATTCGATTGTACTGACAAGTATATTATCGCGATTTGTAATGTTTATGCATTAGTTATAACTGATAATCTGCTGGACAGTTGTTTTGGCTCACTTAGTACTGCATGTGAAATCATTATGATAGTTAATTAATTATGAAATCTGCTATCCTGTTTTTGTCATTCTCTTACATGTTTTCTAACTTTTTTGGGGCCAACAGACGAGATGTTGATACGAGTGAATGTTCTGCTTTTTATAAGATGAGAGGACTTATGCACATTTAACCTAGCATGTAAGAATTATGATACATCGACCTTATTGGGGACTTGAACATTAATTAGCTAGAGTAAGCGAAGTGAGCAGCTGGGGTAAATATTATTTTATAATATTGAGTTCAATACAGATATTGTGAAGATTGATTTCATTATATACACTTAAACAGTCAAATTCTATTTGGATTGTTATACGTGTTTTAAAAGGAGTTTATCTAAATGTTAATACCGTCACCGTTCTGAAATTTTCTGACGTACATTTAAAAGCAAGGAAGGATGAAGCGTGTTATCCGTTTTTCCTCCTTGTTTATGTTTTCTAGTTGTCACACGTCTTGAAACGAATGAAGTTTTGTTTGATGAAGAGATTATATCATTGAATGTTAATTAACTGTTGTTTATACTTTATACAACCCGTGGAAGTAATTGAAATATTTTGTCCATGGTTATGCTGCTCTGTGCCATGATGGCAACAGATCATTTCTGAAGCAGGAAAAATTCTTTCCTCGTTGCACCCCAAGAAATTCTGGCCCACAGTCACGCGATACACCCCCAAAAAGAGGTAGTTTGTGTGTATTTATATCCTTACTGCTTTGTACCTGCCAGAAGCATTACTGAAGGCCATCTGTAGATGTTTTCCAGTGGCCAATTATGGAATGCTAAAGTATTATGTTTGTTTGTGTTCACTGGTTCCTAACAGACACTGGTATAGCAAATGAGAAGGACTGGGGTATCAGCTTGTTGAATGAAAATGTTAATGAGTCCGGCACAAATGAAGATGGGAGTACCTGGTACCGAGAAAGTGGGGAAGAACTGGGTGAAAATGGATATAGATGTCGATGGACAAGAATGGGTGGACAATCTCATGATGTTTCCTCAGAATGGAAAGAAACGGTATACTGTAATTTTAAATTTGAATGTCCGAGTACTTTTAATAAAAAATATAAACTAAAACGTGGGAATAAATCTATGATATCATGTTATGTTAAGACAAGTTTTTGAATGAAAGCTATCTTCCAATTCTTTTATGCAAGTAATCACATGTAATCTTGTTTGATTCCTACAGTTTATTGTTGTTGCTTAAAGAAATCATTAGACCATGATAGAGGACTGATCCTTTGCACCAAACAAAAAGGAGAGATCTTAATTTCCAAACCCTAGATAAAGATATCTGTGCTAACCTTCTGTTTATGAATGGTTTATGGTAAAAACAGTTACAATGAAAACTTATAGCTGAATAATACTTCATTTTTCTTTTAAAGGAAGAGGTCTAGAGTAATTTCTCATCATTTGAATTAAATAGTACTGTAGCTGAGATAAATACCTTGGTATACCAAGCATCGTCCAATGTAATCTGATCTTAATATGTAAGCATTTCACGTACCTTGAAAATATTGAGCACTGCATTTGAATATTTCTAGAAATTTTGTTTTAATTTTGGGAGTAGCTCATAAATGTATTTACTGTCAAGTAAGTTTGTAAAAATGCTCAGCTTCTTGACAAGGGAATGTTTGACTTTTTCTAAAATTTGGATGTAATTCGTCTATAGCCTAATCAGATATGATTTCAAAGTGGATTTATTGGGAGTATACTAGGTTGGGTTTTTATTGGATTTGTTAACATCAGTCATTATAGTTGATTTTAAGCAATTAAAAGTAGAAATGTTTTATTGGAAAAGAAAGTATTTATTGCAGTTTTGTATTTTCAATGTAATGAATACTTTCTTCCTCAATAATAACTTTCTACTTTTAGTTACCTTAAATCCTAAGAGCTGATATTAACAAAACTCTTCTTTTAATAATAGCCTGATTAAGTGTCTTCCTAGGTGGATTCATTTTTAATATGTTAGATTGACTATATTCATAATGTTATCTGAATCACACCTCAGTTGGATTCATTTAATTTGTTTTATTGATCTAATTGGCAGTGGTGGGAGAAGAGTGACTGGACTGGATATAAGGAGCTAGGTATGTTGTTTTCTTTATGATTAATATAGCAGCCTTAAATAACTACATACTGTTGAAGATATTTCTTAGTGTGATTTGGGGCCAGTGCATAATTACTTCAAAATATAGTTTCCACTTTGTTTAGCTATCTAATTATTATTAAAATTTGGATGGTCTACTATGTTCATGTATGTAAAAGTCATTTAGTTTATAAAAGGGTCCCAATGAAACAATAGATTAAGCATGTGTAGTGGTGGATCTTCTTGGGAACCGAGGGGGGCCGTGACCCCCCCCAAAGTTTTGTAACTCCCTTGTAATTTTTTATTTTGGTCCCCCCAAACTTTAATATATTTACTTATATATTTATAATTTTATCCTCTTAGTCTCTCCTAAGTTTTGTAACTCTCATATAATTTATGATTTTGTCCCCCCAAACTTAATGATAATTTTATATATTTACTTATACATTTACAATTTTATCCTCTTATTCTTTCATCTTCTTTCACCTTTTTATATTTATTTATTATTTTTTTAATAATATATTATTTGACCCTCCAAGATCTGCCACTGAGCACGTGTGAGCTAATAGTTGCCCAGCCATGTGGAATGTGGCATGCTATATATGATTTGGTTGAGAGGGAAGTCAATTATTTTATAGCAAATGTGATAAAGGAAGGCTGGCAGGAATTGACATGACTTGGAGAGTAATCACTTTGAAGTAGGGTTGTCAAAACGGATGACCTAACCTAGCCTGGCCCCACGGGCCAAGTAAAAAAATTTCTAATTACTTAGTCTGACTTATATTTTAAAACGAGTCAAAATTTATTGGCTAACTTAGCTTAACAAAATGGGTCATTTTTTGCCTAATTAAAAATAATTTTTTATTTATATAATATTTTTTAATTTAATTTCAAAAAATAATAAGTCATTCATTTGTTGATTTAAAATTAACTCATAACTTATTCAGACAAAAAATCATAGAATATCATCGTACAATAATTTATCAGTATCATATGAGAAGTTATAGTTGTTTATACATCACAAGTCAAACATATTCTATCGAAATATTATATAACACATTTTTAATTATTTTCTTTTCTGTTAAATACAATATAAACCTTTATACCTTTATAATTGGACTGTTTCTAGTAACTGGTTTAAAATCAATATTCAAAACTTTATTGTTGTATTTTTTAAATTTTAGAGTCAAATTTTTATTGCTTCAACAAACTTAGTCTTATTATCCAACATAACTCTACTTGATACTTTGGAAATACACTACATTTAAGAATATTTGTCTTAAATTATTGGTCCTTCAAAACAAATGTGACGACAACAGAAAAAGAAGATGACCAAAGCAAAAAAAGTTTATGTTTAGAGTTTATTATTTTTTCTAAATTATATATATATATATATATAATAAAATATATTATCAAATTAATTTATTATACATATTTTATAATAAAATAATATTACTTTTGTTTTATTTTAAAAATAATTATTATTTTATAAAACATGTCAGTTCATAAGTTTACAAGCTAGTCTATTTAGGTTTGGCCTAAATACATAAGTCGGACCAAAATTGACTTGGTTTTATTTAGTAGGCTTGGCCTAAATAAATAGGTTGGATCAAAATTGGCTTGGTTCTATTTACGTCATAAATTTGTTAACCTAGACTGACCTATTTTTTGGGCCTTTCGAACTGATCCATTGGGCTAAGCCTATTTTAACACTCCTACTTTCAAATTGCTTAGATTTTCAGCTTAGATTTTCAGTTGTATAATTATAAATGTTGTTTTAGGCTCTGTGATTAGCTGATCTGAGTCTTGTACACTAATACAATCGATTACTTGTCAATTTTGGTATCCTAGCAAATCTGAGAGCTTGGACGGTCATCACACAAGTTGTGAGATAAGACTGGCGAATGTGGAGCAAGGAAAGTTGAGTGTGATCAAGAAGCTTTTGCTAAAATGATATACTCCTATTCCAGTGTATGACTTAGGAGAAAGAAAAAGGTCTTAATATTCATGAATGATGCATATGGGAGAACTGTTTGGGTTGAATGCTATTTAAAATTAAATTCCATTACACTTAAGAAGTTCAATATTTGCTGGAGGACGATCTGGCTTTGAATGGGTATGATTGGTGGGAAGAGAAGACATCTACATATTGTTGTGAGGCTTCAAGCTAACTATGACACAGCATTTTAAAACTGGCTTCCCCGAAACCCATTTAGACCTGTACTAAGTATTCGAATGGAGTATTATTAACAATGAAAATGTTTTATGCACCTCTGAAGAAAATGGATTATCCCATGTTGAAAGGGCTTTTTCTCGTTAGATTGAAGGAGACCTGAGGCCTAGAGAACTAATTATAAACTTAGCCTAAGGTACTATGGGCCTTATTTAAGGTGCTTATAAATTAGGGATATGTTTGGACTTGCTTCACAAGTTAAAAATAAAACTTTGGAAAAGCTATATGGGAGAGTTTTTACAAATTAGCTTATGCACAAGCATATTTTAATTTATGAAGAAGCCAATTTCATTGTTTTCTTATTTTTCTTTCGTAGAAGTCTTTTTGGAGAAGTCCATCTAAACAAGTCCTATTACTACTTGGAGGCAGTTGGTGCACTCGGTTTTATGTGTCTGATTGCTCAAATGTCCAATGCCATCCACACTCAACCTTGGCCTGCTTGTTTGTAAGATACTAATATATAAAATAAGCACAAGGAAGAAAGCAAGAGTGATATACTGTTATTATTGACAATTTCTGCCGCTCAGAATAATGGTTTCCACAAGATGGTCCAACAATCTCAACAAAACTCCAAAATTGTCCAACTCCCTTTGTCTACTTCCTTATTCGCCTCTAACTACTTTAGCTACCTTTCTATTTGAATTTTGTAGGATCCAATATCTCATATGATTAAATAATAGGTGACTCAATAGATCTAACAAAAACCACTAGAATAAGTTTTGATGCCATCTTAAAATTTGGGGTTTGGGCTTAATTTAACCCTAAAAGCTGGCTCATTGAGTGAGAATGTGTGACACACTATTTTGGCCATACCATGAGACAATGTGTGATCTCAAACAAATATAAATCTTGTGACTTGTTATTGTGCATTTGATTAATTTTATAAGCTCTTGCAGGTGTGGAGAAATCTGGCAGAAATTCTGAGGGGGATTCTTGGTGGGAAACATGGCAGGAAAATCTTCATCAAGATGAATGGAGGTCATCACTTTATTTCTCTGCTTGTGGTCAATAGGTCAACCCTGTGAATTCTTGACAGAATGTCTTGCATGTTTAAATTTGCAGTAACATAGCAAGAATAGAAAGGAGTGCACAAAAACAAGCAAAATCAGGAACTGAAAATGCTGGATGGTATGAGAAATGGTAAGCTGGTGTATTTTACCAGGGGGAGGGTGATTAGTTTTCAGTATGCGTTTTAAATGTGTCTAATGCATTCAAATATGTGTCTTTTTAAATTTGTTTAGGTGGGAAAAATATGATGCAAAAGGCTGGACTGAGAAAGGGGCACATAAGTATGGTAGATTGAATGAACAATCATGGTGGGAAAAGTGGGGAGAGCATTATGATGGAAGAGGTTCTGTTCTCAAATGGTACGGATTCTGAATTTTCCATCTTAAATGTCATTTACAATTTCATGTTGCTCTGTTCTGGATATTTCAGGTTTAATTCCCTAAAATTTGGGGTAAATAGTTTTTTAGTCCCTCAAATTAAAAAACTCATTTAGTACTTCAAGTTTACTGTTTAGGGACTCAAATTATATTTTTTCAAATTTGAGGGACTAAAATCATAATTACTCTAAATTTCATGGATTAAAAACATAATTAAACCTTTATTTTAGAATTGCTTATTAATTTGCTGAAGTAATAACTTTGTGGTTTGGTGAGTTGAATTGGTTTTCATCTGTATACAAATTTGCATAGTTATATTGTTTAATTTTTCAATAATTGATTATAGAATGATTGAGGTATCTAACCATATCATTATTATTATATTTTGATTTATTGCACTAAAACTTAAAAACATTAAATGACTACAAGTATGTCATCAAATAGTGGATATCTTAATTTCTTGTATTGGTTAGTTTTAAAATGTTGGTGAATGAAAATTAACGTGAACTTAATGAGCATGCCTTTGAAATATAGAGAAAATAGGGTTTGAGATTAATCTCCCTTGTATATAAATCACACATAGGGTAATCTATTTATAATAAAGAGAGGTACAACTAAAAAAGTAACTAAAAAATAATTAGAGTAAATAGAAGATATTGTTTGATATTGTGATTAACAATATCTAAACAATATCTAACACTCCCTCTCAAGTTGGAGCATACAAATCGTATGTGCCAACCTTGTTACAAATATAATCAATTTTAGGCCTCCGTAAATACTTAGTAAAAATATCTGCTAACTGATCACTTGAGTTAACAAACTCAGTCTTGATGTCTCTAGACATAATCTTTTCTCGAATGAAATGACATTCAATCTTAATGTGTTTGGTTCTCTCATGAAAGACAGGATTAGAGCTAATATGAAGAACAACCTGATTGTCACACACAAGTGTCATTTGAGTGACATCTCAGTTTTGATGTCTCCATATATAATATTTTCCCGAATAAAATGACATTCAAACAAGATTAGAGTTAACATGAAGAGCAGCCTAATTGTCACACACATGTGTCATTTGAGTGACATCTCCAAATTGTAACTCTTTAAGCAATTGCTTGAGCCAAATAAGTTTACAGGTAGCTGAGGTCATAACTTTATATTCTATTTCTGCACTGGATCTTGCCACAACACCCTGTTTCTTACTTTTTCACGAGATCAAGTTATCACTAATGGAGACACAATACCCAAATGTGGATCTTCTATCAGAAGGAGATCCTAGCCAATCAACATCTGAGTAACTAACAACTCTTGTATGGTTATTAGAACCATATAACAATTCTTTTTTCGGATATCCTTTAATATATTTTAAGATATGAATGCCTGCATTCCAATGATCTTTACATGGGGAATTAAGAAATTGACTTACCACACTGACTGCAAAGGAAATGTCAGAACGAGTAACTGTAAGATAATTCAATTTCCTAACCAATCTTCTATACTGTTCAGGATCAGATATAGGCTCCCCCTTATTTGATAGAAGTTTAGAATTGGGATCCATGGGTGTATCAATATACTTTGAACTCATCAACTCAGTTTCCTCCAAAATATCCATGACATACTTCCTCTGAGATATAACAATACCATTATTGGACGGTGTCATCTCAATACCCAAAAAATATCTGAGTTTACCAAGATCTTTGGTCTGAAAACGGTGACAGAGATGTTTCAACTGAGAGATGTCATGATTGTTACTACCTGTAAGAATGATGTCATCAACATATACTATCAAGTAAACACATCCAGCATTCGAGTGTTGATAAAATACAGAATGATCTGCTTTACACCGAGTCATACCAAATTGTTGAACAACATTGCTAAACTTTTCAAACCAGGTCCTAGGAGACTGTTTTAGGCCATATAGGGATTTACGATTATAACATACCATCCCAAAAGACTCCTCCTAAGCAACAAACCTATGAGGTTGCTCCATATAGATTTCTTCTTGCAAATCACCATTGAATAAAACATTTTTAACATCCAGTTGATAAATAGGTCATTGTTGAAGAACAACCATGATGATAAATAAACAAACAGAAACCATCTTTGCTACGGGGAAAAAAGTATCTCCATAATCTCACCCAAAAATTTGAGTATAACCTTTAGTTACAAGATGAACTTTGAGGCGATCAATAGTACCATCAAATCTAACTTTGATAGCAAACACCTACCTATAACCAACAATTGATTTCCCAGATGGTAACGAGATCAATTCTCAAGTTCTACTATTATGATGAACACTTAGTTCATCTGTCATGGCCTGACGCCAACCAGGATGAGCTAAAACTTCACGAACAATTTTTGGAATGGTCACAGAAGAAATAGAGGAAAGACATGTATAAAAAGGTAATGACAGTTGATGATAACTCAAAGTAATATAATGGGGAAAGAGATTACGTGTAGAACAGATACCTTTTCGAAGGATAATGGGAAAGTTAGACTCAGGTACAGAGCGGGAGGAGACAGAGTAGTTGGCACTTGAGTGGAGTCACATGGTGGTGATTGTGATAGGTTTCAGCGACTATAAAGCTCAAGGGGCGGTAGAGAAGAAACTGACTGGGGAGTATGAACTAATGGTGAAGAAGATTCAGTTAGAGGATCACAAACAACAAGAACATTAAATGTACTAGGAGTGTTGATAGGATTATATGGAGACAGAGGTGAAGATTGACTTTCAAAATAAAGGGAGAACTCATCAAAGGTGATATCTGCAGACACAAAATAACGGTTAAGAAAAGGAGAAAAACATTTGTATCCTTTTTGTGATCTTGTAAACCTAAAGAAAACACACTTATGTGATCTAGGAGAAAGCTTGTCAAGACTATGACTGAAATTATGAACAAAACATGTAGACCAAAAAACTCTTTGACAAGGGATGAAGAAGTTCATGAGGGAATAAAATGGAATGGGGTATTTTATTATCTAAAACTGAAGAAGACATGCGATTAACGAGATAACATATAGTAAGAAGAGCATTACCCCAAAAATATTGAAGAATCTCTTCATGAATTAAAAAGGTGCTAGTTGTTTCAATAAGATGTTTATTTTTACGCTCAGCTACACCATTTTGTTGAGGCGTATAAGCACGAGAAGTTTGATGCAGAATACTGTGAGAAGTCATAAATTGTTTAAAAAAATATTAAAGATATTCATGGTCATTATCACTGCGCAAAATTCTAATAGAAACACCGAACTGAGTTTGAATTTCATTAAAAAAAAATTGAAAGATATGAAATAATTTAGAACGATTTTTCATTAAAAATAACCAAGTACATCTGTAATAATCATCAATGAAAATAACAAAATATTGAAAACCTAAAATAGACTTAACGAGACTATGTCCCCAAATGTCTGAGTGAATCACGACAAAAGGGGATGAAGCGCCACGTGTGACACTACGAGGAAAGGAAGTACGACTATGTTTGCCTAATTTACACGACTCACACACCAAGCTAGACAATTTGGATAAGACAGACAATTTGCTATAACTTGGCAAGACTTGGATGACCTAACTGAGCATGAAGAAGAGAGGGAGACTCCATAACGGTACCAACATGTATAGAGGGACAGAGATAATAAAGATCATGAGACTTACATCTTGTGTCAATCACTTGTTTCAAATTTCGATCCTGTAAACACACAAAATTATTGATAAAAGAAACAACACAATTTAGAGAACGAGTTAGACGACTGATGGACAACAGGTTAAAAAGAGATCCAGGGACATAAAAAACATTATAAATGGTTAAAGAAGGAAAAAGTTTAACAATTTCAACACCATGAGATGATACTCTAGAGCCATCAACTAGTGTAACAGAAGGTAAATGATTAAGAGAGGATAAAGAGGAGAACAAAGATTTGTTACCAGTAATATGATCAGTGGCTCCTGAATCAAAAACCTAAGGACCAGGAGAAGAAGATTGGGTCAGACCAGCAAAAGATGTACCTGTGTGCAACAGACGCAATGGAACTAGAAGATTGTTGATCTTTATACCATTTGAGAAATTTGTTGAACATAGCAGGTGTGTTGGATGAAACAGAAGGAAAATCCCCAATAGACAAAGGTGGGAAAAGATCGGTATGAACAACTGCAGCAGATCCAGGGGGACGACCATGTAATGCATAACACTTGTCAATCTTGTGACCTAGCTTGCCACAATGTTCACACTCATGTAATGCATAACACTTGTCAATCTTGTGACTTAACTAGCCACAATGTTCACACTTAGGACACCCTTTTTCTTGTTTGCGGTCCGGTCATCACGGTGAGATGCTAACACAGAAGAATCATTAACAGAAGCAGGTATATCATGGTTGGGTTTTGTTGGTACACGCAAAAGAGTAGAGCAAGTCGAAGTCAAGGTGGGGATAATCGGGTAACCCAAAATCTGATCACAGATGTGAATATTGATCTGCAAGTCCGCGTAATGCCCCTAACATGAAGAACTTTGATCGTTGTGTTGTCTCGATGGTAGGGCCGGGGGAAGGAGACAATAACTCATTGAATTCATGAAAAAGAGCATGAGTTTTGTCCATATAATCAGTTATAGAGTCTTGATATTTAGAGGCAATAAGATATACAAATTTAAAACAAATACCATAAAGACGTTGGGTATCATTGGTGTATAATAACTTAGCATGTTCCCAGATTTTAACACACGTTTCCTAGGAACGAAAAATCTGCTTTAACGAAGGATCCAAATTACCCTTGAGAATCACACATAATTGAGCATCATTGGTGTTCCAACAGTCTTACTCAGCAGGAGTGAAAGTAGGTACTTTCGGGGCAAGATGATCAAGATACCTCTTACACTTAAGCCATAATCCGACGTCTGATGACCATGTGGCATAATTAGGGCCAGTTAACTTGTCTAGGCATGGCAACGGGGCGGGGTGAATTTTGTCTCCCCGATCCTCGCCCCTGACCTTTTTAACCGTCCCCATCCCCACCTCCGATTCCTATCGGGGTTAGAAATTAAGTCATCATCTCTGTCCTCGTTGGGTTTCGGGTTTCCCTGCCCCCATCCCATCTCGTTCCCGATCTATATTATTTTTTTTAAATATTTATAATAAATTATTTTTATGTATTTTTTTTATACATAAATAAATATTTATAATTTTATAATTTGTAATTATTATTAATTAAATATATTTTTTAATTTATTATATTTATATTAAAATATGTATATAAAAAAATATTTAATTATTTTTTATTTATACATACATAGAATATTTATAATAATAATATTATTATTATTATTATTATTATTATAATATTGTATTCAAACATTTGAATATTTATAACATTATTATTTTACTCGTATTCAAATATTTGATTACATATATATATATATATATATATATATATATATAAGTTAATTTATTTTTAAGTTATTATTTAAAAATATGAAATATATAGTTTATAAAGAAATATTTAATAAGTTAATTTTTATTTAATTAGTTTGAAATAATAAAATTTTAAATTATTAATTTTTTTAATCTTTTAAAATACAATTATTTTATTAAGATAAAATTTGATATATGGCAAATAAGAATAATAAGATTTAAAAAAAATGACATAATCAAACCTAATAAATATAAATTATAAATAACAAATATTAGTTATTATTAAGATTTATGTAAAATATTTAGAAAAAGATGAAGAAAAAAAATTTAACTTTGTGTTCATCAAATTGGTTAAAAAGATTGAAAAAAAATGATTGGAGAGATTAAGGAAATGTAAAAAACTGAAAGATAAGAGAAAGATAATAATGTAATAAACTAATTGATATAAAAGATTAAAAAAGACAACAAAATTAAAAAGTGGATAGAAGAAAAGTAAAAATATGAAATATAAAAAAATAACCTTATATATAATAATAAAAAAAGGAAATACTTTTAGACTTTTAGCCCAACAATGATTTTGTGAAATTTTATTTTATAAATATTATTGATGGTGTAAGATTGATTTTGATTTATGCTAATGTCAATGGATACTGTCAAGAGTTGAATTATGATATACTTTTTCAGGAGCACATCAGTATTTCAATTTTTAATTTGTGTAATTGTTCCGTTTCCTTTTTGTCTTCCTAATTGTAATTTGTTGATTTCTTTAGACACGAGGGAATTATTTGAGTTTATAAAGAACTGAGGTTTAATTTAATTTTGTTTGTGCTTTCTCCTCCTTGCTTACACTTCCTCAGGACAGATAAGTGGGCTGAAACTGAGCTTGGGACAAAATGGGGAGACAAGTGGGAGGAGAGGTTTTTTAAGGGCATAGGTTCAAGACACGGAGAAACATGGCACGTGTCTCCAAGCAGTGAACGTATGTTACAATTACTAAACTTCTAGTGGAATGTCTACTTTCATATCCATTTCATATTTTGTTCTTCCCATTCAGTAACCGAACATCTTAAATGCAATAAAATATGTGATTATATTATTAATTCAAAATCTTTCTTATTGGCAAGTCACAAAAAATGCACTTATTAACGCAATTACAAAAATGATGTCTTTTCAATCCATTTGATGATTCTCATAGTCCTCCCAAAGATGTAGTCAACGAAGGTAGCATTCCATTTAAATATGTAATGCATTTTGAACTATAGGCACGTTTGGACAAATTTTTCTATATGCATTTTTAGGACATAAAAATAGAAAGAAAAAATGAAATGAGTTTCTTCATAAGTCAAAATTAACTTATACAAAATGAAAATTTAGAAAGGTTATATTAGGGGTTTTTTACAAATTAGTTTATGGAGAAAGTCATATCATGTTTTCTTCTTATTAAGTTTTCTTCTTCTTTTTCCCTCTTAGAAGTGTTTTATAGACAAGTTTATCCAATCAAATCCTGGGTCCGTAAAGGGTCTTCTCTTATTGATTCAGCTTTTCAGAGGAGAGTTATTTTCCATTAAGTTTTTTCTCTCCTTTTACAGGCTTGTTAACATGGTTTTCTATTACGATGTTCTTACTTTTTACCAGGTTGGTCAAGAACTTGGGGAGAAGAACACTTTGGAAATGGGTACGGTATCTAAAGCTAACTCACAGCTGATTAGTTGAATTATTTGTTCAAAGAAACAGTTTAAAAATGCTTTAATTGTTAAATAGATCTTTATCCCATGTCTCAATTTTTTATTCAACTCCTCAAAATGTTTGCTTGACATGTTACTTCTATATTCTATATCATATCCATATTGCTAACTGGTTTTGCTTTCGTCTGTAACAGGAAAGTCCATAAGTATGGAAATAGCACAACTGGTGAGAGCTGGGATATAGTTGTAGATGAAGAAACTTATTATGAGTAAGAACATTCACTTCAGCTACTTTATTCTATTGCATATCTATAAAGAGCTGGGATATAGTTGTAGATGAAGAAACTTATTATGAGTAAGAACATTCACTTCAACTACTATTCTATTGCATATCTATAAAGAGCTGGGGTATAGTTGTAGATGAAGAGTATGTTTATCCTTCATTTAATATAAAAACCTTTGATGCATCTAGATGATTTTTGTGCGTTAAGAAGAAGCATGTGTCTAATGTTTGTTCGGTAACACGCAATTACACATTATTTCTGTTTTTGTAAAGAAAAAAATTTACCTACAAAAATACTCGAGCATTAAAATACATTGATAGACGTGTTAGATCGGGATGAAACATCACGTTGGTTCATTCTTATGTTTTGTACATTTTAAGAATAGAATATATTTTGAGTTATTAAATTAATCCTTAAAATTATGAGTTTTAGTCAATTTTCTCTCTCTATATAAAATGTCATTATGAATAATATTTTGCTAATTTGAATTTGATATGTCTCTCAAATTTAGGGCTGAACCTCATTATGGATGGGCGGATGTTGTGGGTGATTCAACCCAATTACTTTCAATTGAGCCTCGGGAGAGGCCTCCTGGTGTTTTCCCTAACATAGACTTTGGTTCGCCTCCATTGCCGGAGGCTATTGATGACTCGCCGCAAGATTTGCCCCCTTCACAATGAATATCTGACTCACAAGCTTCACTATTTGTTTTCTTCAATTTTAGGGAGATTCCATCGCAACGAGCGGAACTCATTTGTAACATATTGTGAATCTGTCATTGTATTCATTCTTTCCATTTTAATGTTCTACCTTTTTTACTTTTCCTCCTTTTGGTTCCCGACTAAGTTATTTTAACATTGACAATTTTTCGTCATTATTAGTGGATAATTTTCTATGGTATTTTGCCACATAAATGATGCTAAACAGCTTTATCTCTCATGATTTTCGGTTCGAATCAGACAAATTTTATCGACAGAGTCACAGGTAAGATATAACCACGGCAAAACTGCCTGCCCTTTCTTATCCATGCTTTGAAAAGCATATTACTTTCGCACACAACACGCACGCAAATTTGTGTAATAAAATCTAACTTTAATTGTGACTACATGTATGAAAGAATTTATCGATGTTTTTAACATGGCTAACCTATTATGGTCCTTAAGGCGAAAAACTATAGTTGGCATCCAGTTGCTTCTAAAAATGAAGTAGACTGCATCACACGTGAAAGATAGACAGGAACCACTAAGTACAATCTATATAAACTGCAACGGTTTTCCTCAAGATATACAGATTTTCCTACTTCCTAGCAAACTCAATTCAATATTGTGTGCAACTATATGTCGAATGGTTGTCCTCTAAATCAACTTCCATTGCTCGCTTCTGACAACCCTTTTACAGATTCAAGTACAAGTCCAAAACACTCCCAAAATTCAGTACCAAACTGAGGTCATATTATATCCTTAGAAATGCAGAAGATGATCGTAGATTAAATCTGAGATGTCTGTTTAGTTCGGCCACTATTGATAAAGAAACGCCTTCTATGTTTCCTGTTTTTGGGCTTTATCAACAGCTGTCGAATTGAGAACCTGCTGAAGGGAACGTGATGAATGCGAACCATAGTAGGTCAACAGGTACAACAGCCTTGAATAAGTCGCCCTTACTAATCTGATATCATTGCCTCCAACTCGGGTTCGTCAAAGTTCAGAGCATCATAGTCCGACATTGTTTCATTGAATGTACCCTTTTCTGCAAGATCATTCTGATCATCATCATCATCATCCATATCTGGCCATTCAGACTCATTGTCAACATCCGGTTCATCATTTGATGCATTTCTCTTTGTTGTATTATGCTTTCCTTGTTTTCTTGGTCCTGAATTTTTCCCACCTTTGGCCGTGGAATCTTCACATATGCAGGTCGATGGATTCTCATGAAACCCGCCTCTACCTGGTCTTACCTCCTTTGGCTCCCCCATGAAGCCTCTCTGGAAATTACGGACACTAGAAGCAAAAACTTCCCAAGTCATATTACTTCTATTCAAGAACAATCGATAGAGTTTTTTAGCATTTGGACGAATGGTTGGTTTATGCCCAAAGTATCTCCTGCAAGAAAGTTCCCAGAGAGCTAATTAGTAGTTATATATATATATATCAGTGGACAACAGACAGTAAAATAGAATATGTAAATGGAGCATAACATACCTTCGTCCAGCTAACATTTTTGCCATATTTCCATTATTATTGGTTACAAATACATCACTCTCATCACATACAATGAAGTCAAGGGCAGCCATGCGAGAAGAAAATGAAGAAAATGATTCCAATTCTTCCTTGGTAGCAATGGTCTCTTTTGAATGGTAATTAGGAAATAATGCTTTGAGAGGTGCCAGTGTTCTTTCCCCTCCATATACTTCCCCTGATGCAACATAAATGTGAACATCAGAACCATATCCCAATGCTCTTAGCATGAGACCAACTTCTTCTGGGGTTAATGGGCATCTTCCCTGCCTCCTTGCCCTATCAGGATTGCTTCTCTGCATATTCCTCGTATTATTTCACCAGTCCATAAATCAGTTTTCACATGTGTAAACAGAGTTCAGCCAAACATTTCTCTACTAAATCCTAATTCTTTAGCATCTTGCCACTACCAGGTTGAAAGAATGTTCAGATGTTTAAAGCTATTGTTGATATTCATTCTATGAAAAGATTCTGTTAGGTTCATGTGTCCTGTGTACTGCTGTGGTATTGGATGTCCATTCAAAAATATAAAAAATATTGTCTAAAAGTGAATAAGATGTGATTATATTTTCAGTATCTCCTAAATTATTATTGGTATTTAAAATTTTAGCACGTGAGACTTACATGTAAAGTCTTCCACCTCCTCCTTATTGCGCCTAGTTCCTTTTGCTCCTTCTCCCCTCCACCATAATCACATCCAGAAAATGCAAGCATATCAGGTTCAAATCTGTAGCAAAAAAGGCAATCAATTTTAGAAATTACTCAATTGTCATTTGGTATTCTACTTAGTTAACTGCATCACAAGTGTAAAACAGTAAAAGAGTAAAAGAAATTGCTGCTTCTGAAAACAGAATCAACCAATGTTTTAAAACTCATGCAAAGTTTGACTTGGAACAGATACTAAATCAATGGGTCACTGGTGTCTACGTGTGTGGTAAATCTCTCCAAGCTAATATAAGGTGCTCTTCTCAGTTCCTATTGCACTTTTCACACAATTTCATTCTTTTGCATTCATTTTTAGAAACAGCTAGTTAAACAACAAGCATACGAGTGTGGGTCTTGAGGGGTAAAATAGCCGCAGCACATGTCTCAAGAGAGCAGTAGCAAGAAGACATTACAGAGGCCTTTATTTAAAATGGAAAAACATGGTCCACTCGGGATAGGTTTATACCAGTTAAATCCAACTTTTGATCAGTCTAATGACATCAATACCAAGTTAGAAACATGCTCAATCTATAAAGTAAATACACCTCCAAATCCGATCCGACCAGCTGGTCTGAACCAGGTTTTGAAACTCTGGAATCAATGAAAGCTTCAACAAGTACCATCATCCAAATTAAGCTTGTGATATGGACTAGGTCTAAATTATGAGCATGCTGGTGTTCGGGAATTTCTAAAACAAGCTGGGTACTTGTTAGGACAAAGTGAAAGAGAAAAAGGCAATCAGCAGTAGTTCGTTAAAGTGGCCTAGTTAGTGGGATAGAGGGGATTAGTTAGACAAATAAGGAGAATAAGAATGGACAGGGCTTTATAGTTGTCATGTCCATTCACAGGCCCAAATTTATTTGTATTAGCAAATGTTGTCAGTCAAAACAGAGGTCCTCCAAGAAGATGATCATTCTTGTGGATATAATTTGGATGTATATTTTTGTGATATGCTTATCTAGCATATGTAATAGGGAGACCGTTAGGTATCTAACTACCCTATATGTATGTAATACAGCTGCTTAAGAATTATCCAGTTTTGATTTGCATTTGTAAACTAGTGAATTTTACTGAGAACATGGATCCACACATAGGTACAAACACTAACACAATATACTCTAGAATTTTGGCGGTTATCATATTGATAAATCTGATTGATGCCAGATCGTGTGAATTGAATGTGATAGAAACGCATAATAAAAGACCAAAAGTCAATCAAACTACCTCAGGTGCAGTGCAATATAATGTTTGCTTCTCATCCTCATCCTTTGGACCAATTTTTCACCCATTGCAAGTATTGGGTTGGTAAATCTTAAAGCATGGTAATTAACTCTACACCTCAACTTCTGGTATTCTGTATCCAACCTGTTTGCAAGCCTGTAGTCAAACTTGCTGAGCTGGACAGCCTGCCACAAAATGAAGCAAACAAATAGATTTCCTGGATAAGTAAATTTTCAAATAGCTATCAATTTCTATGGTGGCAAAATAGCCGTCAGAATTTAAGTCATTCATTACTTGTTTATTAAATCTTAGAGAAAAAAAAATAAAAAAAATAAAAGACAACACTTGCCACCTACTAACTAGAGCTATCATGTCTTTCTGAAATCTAAATTTCCTGAAAATTTATTGCAGTTTTGTGAAGACAAAATGTCCCATTTGAAAGGCAAAAACCACAAATTAAAAATACAAATAATCCTGCAATTTGAATTTCATGTCCTCTAAAACTTGAGAACTTCAGGGTTTGAAATTTGAATAAGGTAGGATTTTTCAGCCATAGGATATGATAGATCAAATATATGGCTCCGAAGGTATAGTGAATGGTAACTTTATTGACAATTTTTATTTTTTTTGGCAAAATTACAAGGGGGAAAATGGATATAGATCTTGCAAATAGAGGAATATAAGATTCCTTGGCTGATAGAAAAGATTTAGATAAGACATTAAACTGAGGGAAAAGGGGAGAAATAACCTAGGTTGACTCATAAGATATATTAGGCATCACACACTTGACGGATAAAATTCATTAGACTCGTACATTCAAGTGATTGGTGGACCAATGCTGAAAAGTTCATTTCACTCAAATAAAACCATGTAATCAAATCTAATTAGACTTACTATAAAATCTACCTAAAGAAGAACAATTCTAGTCCTGGATCTAAATGCATTAATGAACTTCCTACGTCTACTTAACTGAGAATCCAATAAGTTGCACAACACATTAGCACCAGTAATAGTTTCAGGAAATAAAAAAACTTACATGTTTTTTCAGGAGTACAGGTAATATGCGGGTTATATAACATCTTTCATTACACTTCCTTGGAACCCGCATATTATATGCAGATAATGGTTTCCTACCCTTACTGGGAAGTTGCTTGATAATTTTGACATCTTTTGACAGATATGCTATAAACCAATCAACATCAAAGATCTCTGAGAAGTTACTGCAAAAAGTAAAGTATGTCATCATTCACAATACTTTGATATCCAAATCAATTTACAGGGTCAATCCCTGCCCCTTTTGTAACTGACCTAGAATCTTTCCAGAAAGATCGTTGATCCAATTTTGGAACAACAAGGGTAGCATTCAAAATTCTTGCAGCAACAACAGCATCTGTAATCTGCCAGTTGCAGAAACAGAAGGATTGGCATTAATAGCAGAGTATGCAGCTAGTTTACGTTCCAACAAAAATAATCACATCCTGTGGTGTACTATCATGATATGCATTGTAACCAAATAGAAACGTTTACTGGTTTCCATACTCCAGGCTTTTCAGCAAACAATTTACAGAGGCATTTTTGTCCAAAACCTAGTACATCTAAAAGGATGAAGGATATATTTCTTCCATGGATGCAAACAATAGGATTGTCAAGAAGATTTTAGTATTGATAGAGGGAGAGAGCCCTGTAGTAAAAAAATGTCATATTACTCACTACTGCAAGAACAAATTGATTCCGTTTGACAACATCAATCTACTGCCGAACCCAATTGAGGCGCAGAAGCATTTTTTCCCATTTTTTAGTTCATTTCACATTTTTATTTACTATAAGTATATGAATAAAAAGATCAGAGTCAGAAACACAAAATCTTTTAGAAATAGAAACTAAAGCCAGATATCAAATCCATGCTTGACTACTATAATCTCAAGAGTCCTGAGAATTACCCCAGTTCTTTGTTGATTCAAGCCTCCACTGGTTGCAATCAATAAGTATCGATTCGGATGTGTAACCACCTGAGCTTCTGCAACAAGAAAAACATAGTTATCGGTCATTATCATACATTCATACATCCAAAACTGGATACAAGTTTCAAACGAAAAAGTTTAACATCGCATCACTCCACACCACTGAACTAACAATGATACCACTGAACTAACAATGAGACGCACTTTGAAACTTGTTGCTGGAATTGCTACAGCCGTAGAAGTGCTCTGAATTTGTAGAAGTCCAGATATCGCGTCCCAACTTTCCTCCATTACTCTAATGATTATTGTTAAATAAATAAAAAACCAATCAACTACGGAATCAAGATCCAATAACTTCAGCGTCAAACCAACACATATTTCAAATAGAAGCCATAAAATGAAAAGCCCTAACCGGAACGCGGAACGTAGCATTCTCAATCGCCTCATTCGCTTCAAAGTTAATCTAAACAATAAGTCCAGACATAAAACAAAACGATTAGGAATTCACGATCAATTATTTGGATTACCAGAAACAGCGATGAGCGAGAGAGAAAGTGTACCAAAGTGTGTTGTCGTCTCCGGAGCATTCGATCGGTTTCGACAGGAGAAGGGGCTAAAAACGATAGGAGAGCAAAGAGAAAGAGTAGCGCGGCGGTGACGGCGGAAAGCACCGGGATCACTAACCGGAACCGTTGGTAATAGTGTTGACGCCGCCGTTGATACGCCATTTCTCCACCTTTCTCTCTACTGTGCTTGCGTGTGCTTCTTACTGGAAGCACCAAATTGATAAAATGATTACAATTTCATGTTCCTTTTATACAAATAACTAACAATTAATTTTCAGCAATGCACATTGTGTGTGGCGTGCTGTGCTGTGATAATAGATCTGTTTGCTTCATAGAAGGTTAAAAAAAAAAAAAAAAGAATTAGAAGAGTGCGAGTGAGAGTTGGTGCCTCTTTCTTTCTCTCTTCTCTCACTGCAACGCTTCCAGGTAAGGTTCATATGATGGTTCCGTTGTCCATCTTTCTATCTACGCCCATCTTATTTATTATTTTTGCATCATTTGCCTAGCACGTGCACCGTCTCGCTGTCTTTCCGTTTCATCTTTTCTCTAACAAACGCCCATCACTGCTGTCTGCTTCAGCCAAATTAGAGATTTGTTGCTAACTTCCCATGCTGGCGAGTGGTTCAGGTAATTAACAACGCATTTAACTAGTTTCCATCAAATAGTAAGCCTGGATTATTATCTCAGCGTCCTTTTTAAGCATTTTGTAGCCTATAATATTAGGACATTTTAGAGTTAATTTGAAATAGAAATTAATATTTTATTATAAATTCTATCAGTGAATTATTTAAAATTTTATTAAAATTATTTACATAAATAATTTTTTTTAAACCTCTTTCTAATTTAAAATATTTTTTATACAAGACTTATAATAATTTATTTATTTATTTTATATCACTTTTCGTATTGACTTCAAAATAAATTGTATTGGAGATATTGTACCTCTTCTCTCTTAATATTTTTTAAGCATTTCTTAGGAAACAATTTTTAAAGATCTTTTTTACACGCTGGCAGATTAAATTATATTGCTGTTAACTATATTTATTAAAATTAAGATAGGAAAAGAAAAAAAAAGCTTGTTGTTGATGCAAACTTCAATTGACATGAAAAATAATTATACTAATTAAAATTATTATCACATTTTAATAAGTTTTTGTACAAAAATAATTGAAATAAGTAACCTTTTGAAAAATTTTAGTATGTTTATTGAACGTATTTGAAAAAAAAGATAGAAAAATATATTAATTATTTAAAAACTACTTTCAATGATTTTGAAAAAAAAAATTATAATTTTTAAAATAAAAAATTATATTGGTAACCAAATAAATAATAACTTGTGTTTACAAATATTTTTATGGTTGTGTACGGGAAGTATAAAATATTTTTATATTTTTATTTAATCACAAAGCATTGTTAGTTTTTTGTGAACAAATAATGCTAATGTGATTTTTAAGATAATTCACAAAAAATATCAATCTTATTATATATCACATTGAGATTAAATAACTTTGTAAAAAAAGTTATTTTATATATTTAGTAAATTTTTGTTCATTTTAAAAAATAATCAGGGAGTACTTTTTATTCGAATGCAATGTACTGGGGAAAAGAATGTTCTGTTATTTGAATATTTTAGAACAAAGAAAAAAAAAAAAAAGATTCAATATCATATGCTTTACTTGTAACAAAAGGAATGATGTTACAGTGAGAACAGACGTACATTTTATCAAGTTTCGTCCAGTTCTAATTAATTTTAAGAAATTTACACAATAAAATATTATATCCTTGTAATTTATTCTTCCATTCTTATTCATATGAACATAAAGAGTTTTGTAGACATTGATTTTTCTTTTTAACAAAAAAAAAAGAGGGAGATTAAGAAACAGACAAGTGAAATAAAAAAAATAATGTTTAGAAAATAGAAAATAAAGAAATAAAAAATTAGTTGTAATATTTTTGAACCAGATTTAATTAGAAGGCAAATATAATTTACATGAATATTATTGTTTGAAGAATTTGATTTAGAGGTAAATGAAAAAAAAAAAGTGTTTGACCATTATCTCGTTTGTAGAATGAGAAGTGATCTAAAAAATATAAAAATTTTAGATTAATTATTGGATAAAATATTATTACAGGTAAAAAATACTTTGGTTTGTCGACATAAATATCTTTTAAGTATTCTAAAAAAATATTATTAGGTATAAAGTAAAAAGCTAGAAGATCTTTAATATTTCAACGTTTAGAAGCAATAGTTAAAATTGACCATTTTTTTAGTTTATTATTTAATAAATGTGTTATTAGATAAAACATAAATTAAAAAAAAAAAAGATCTCCAAGTGAGTTGGTTGAAGCCTATACAAACATATATGTAAAGAATAAAATTAATGAAGTAAACATTATTTAATTGATGATTTATTATTGTATTAAATAATTTATTCTATGTGAGTTGAGCTTTTAAGGGTTTCTTATATTTAAATAAGCATGTTCAATATTGTGAAAATTACCAAATACAGCACACATCTTTTAAATTATTTCAAGAAGACGTGAAGTATCTCTACAAAATGGTTAAGGTAATTAAACATTTTTATGCCGAGTATTAAATAGATTTAATGTATTATTGTTTTAAATAAGATAATATGTTTAATTTGTAGTAATAGTAAAAAAATTATGAAGTAGACTTATCTTAATAGAAAAATACATTATTAAGTGTTGTTTTGTTTTTTAAATCTTAGCTGTTTGGTCTGAGATTAAAAGTATAATTAATTTTATTGTTCATGTCCAACAAATTGTATTAACTGAAGAGATTTTAAACTTACCATTTTTTATTATTTATTTTTACAAAAATATTGATTTAATCCAATTAAATTGCATCCTGATATAATTAAAATAAAATTAATTATGAACAAAATTAATATTTTTAAATATATGGAAATTAAGCCGATAAAAATGGTCATTTTTATCAGACATGATAATATTTTAATTAATTCGTTATCTGGAGTAAATAAAAATACTACTTGTGGCAGGTGCAAAATCACGTGTGAACCTCATCCCTGGGAATTAGGAAGAAGAAGAATGCCACTCCACCACCAAGCCCAACTCTGAAACATTTCTCTCTCTGTGATACCAGAAATAAATTATTAATCATTTATCATGTATTCCTTGACAGTGAAACCGTTCGTCTTACCTCAATTAGTCTATTCTTCTTCCTCTTCAACTTCTACATCATCCTCTTCAATTTCTCTCGCCTCTTTCTCATCTCGTTCGGTTTCATCAATTAGTTTTCCCAAAGATTTAAAGCACAATGGAAGGTTTGGTTTCAAGGTTGAAGCGTACGATTCCTCCAATAATGACGCTTCTAATTCTGCCAGTGCTGGCGACTCCAAACCCCCTAATGGCACTTTGGTACTGCTTCTTCTAATTTTTTTTAATAAAAGTGTTATTTTTAATGATTATTTTATTGTTTATAAAAATAATTTTTGAATTGTGAATGGAAACCTCTTACGATGGGTTAGTGTGATCCTGGATCAGTGAATGAATATATAATCTTTAAACTCTCCCATGAAATCTCAAGTTTCTTCAGCACTATATGCCCTAGCCCAAGTGATTATTTTGATGGATATGAAATTAGAATAGGATCCGTTGTCAAAATTGTTTTTTCAATAAATAAGTATTTATTCTAATAAGTTACCTAACGAGTGACTAAATGTTTTGAATTCACCAGTCAAAGAGCAGGAGAGAAATTTTACTGGAATATGTTAAGAACGTGCAGCCAGAATTTATGGAATTGTTTGTGAAAAGAGCGCCTCAACAGGTATGGTGTTGTCTAGATTTGAACAGTTATCTGACAGATAATTGATTACAGCGGTAAAATAGCTATTTTTTTTTTCATCGCCACACCTCTTAGTGTAAATGAAACTTTTGTTGGTGATTAGGTTGTGGATGCAATGCGCCAAACAGTGACAAATATGATTGGAACACTGCCCCCTCAATTTTTTGCTGTAACAGTTACAACTGTAAGATGCTACGAGTTTGTTTTTTCTCCTCTTGCTTAACTTCAATTATCATTTTTAATGAGCAATTTTGCGAGCTATGATGGTTGTATTTGGCTGGATAGCCAACCTCTAGGGTGCTTTGATGAAACGTTTGTATAGAATTGGAGACCTTGCTTTGTTTGGTGTACTTGTCCCTGAAATTTGTGTTTTCAATCGCTACCCCCCCTTTGTTTCACGTCACATGTAGTTATATTCACTTTTAGAAATTTGAAAAAAAATAAAAAATTCAGAAGTATGCTTACTACCTTTGCTACCATTTTTTTTCCCTTTTTTTTTTAATATTAAATATTTGCATTGTAAGCCCCATTTTCAGAGCCTTTTAAAAATTCTTCCCATGAATGTACTTGTCTAAATTGATCAAAAAATATTATGCTGTTGGAAAAAATATCATGTTTTTAGCACAAGATGGTCCAATTGGAGAAGCAATGTTGAGTGTTGGGGCTGGGTTGAATGGCAGTTCTTCCTTTTTATTTTATTTTACTCCATGCCTCTTACGTATCTCAGTGGAATCATTTGGCTTTTTATTAGGTAGCTGAAAATCTTGCACAGCTCATGTACAGTGTCATTATGACTGGATACATGTTCAGGAATGCTCAATACCGTTTGGAGTTGCAAGAAAGTTTGGAACAAGTTGTTGCCCTTCCAGACGTGCAAGATAAAAAGGTAACATTATTTCTCTTTCTTCTCTTTTTAGCATTCTGTCTGTGATTTAAAAAGATATTTAAGTGCTTGGATAACTGGAACGATGTACTCAATTTGGTGGACAGAAGATTTATTTGGACTTTTGGTCCAGTAATATTCTATCCTTACTAGCTTTCCCTATTCAGATTCCAGTTCAGCTTATAGGAAAGAAAAAATTGCAAGAGACATTCTTTAATCTAATCTAGTGTGGACTAGCTGAAAAGGAGAAAGATGTTATTGGGTGTAGGAGAATATAATAGTTTCTTCTTCCTCTCTCTTTTTCGATATGGTATCAAGAGCATAAGATTTTGGTGATTCTTCCCATCCACCAGCATTTGTCTGCCATACTGCTTCTGCTTTCATCGGTGCCACTCATTTTTTCTCATTCCAGTACAGAGAAACTCAATGAAGATAATTTTCTGCTACGGAGGGAACAAATTGAACCTGTGATAAAGGTCATCGATTTCATTCTTTTTTGGTTAATCCCAAAATACCCTTGCATTTTGTTTCTCAAGAAGATCACGAATTTGGATCTGTTAATCCTGCATATCTTGCATGGGACCAATAGGATGAGTTACATTTCTCATGACTTCAATCCACTTTAACAAGTACTATACTCACACAAATCATTGATTGCTTTCATTCTTGGGAACATTGGAAGAAACTGCATGAACATTTTGGTGATCTTACACATGCTCGCGCAAATCATGACTGAATTCTAAGTTTGTGTGAAAGCATTTGTTGATTTGATTGCTAATTGGCCATAGTGTTTCCTTTAGGCACCACATTATTATTGCACCAAGCAAATTTAAATATTACTTTTGTTTTCACATTCTTTAATTTATGCTCTTAAAATGATGCAGGATGTGCCAGATTATGCACCTGGCACACAAAAGAATGTTTCAGGTGAAGTTATTCGGTGGAACAATATTTCGGGACCTGAGAAAATAGATGCTAAAAAGTACATTGAATTACTTGAATCAGAGATTGAGGAGCTGAATCGTCAAGTTGGGCGACAATCTAGCAATGCACAAAATGAACTGTTGGAATACCTAAAATCTCTTGAGCCTCGAAATTTGAAGGTTAACTCTATTTTTCATTGGTCAATATAAAATACTTCCTTTCCTTTATCCAGATGACTTGTGCTGTCTCCATAGTACAGTTTTCATATATTGATCTGTATTGTAATGACTGTAGCTTTTATTGAGATTAGTTTCGTATGATCTACTAATGTTGAATCATTATTGAACATTCTGGTATAGCATTTTTTTTTTCAAAACTAGGCATTAGTTTGATGTTAATAAAATCATTTTAATTATAAATTCACATCCAATGTTGTAGATTTACTTGCACAGGTGCTCTATAGATTGTGATATTTGCTTCTGTAACTATTGACATTCCCATGCAGATTGTTCAACTTAACAAATATAAGTATTTCTCTGATTCTCTGCAGTTAGAACACATGTCAACTATTTCCCGTAATAAGCCTTCATTTCATTTTGTAGGAGTTGACTAGTAGTGCTGGTGAGGATGTAGTGTTTGCTATGAATACATTTATAAAGCGCCTGCTGGCCGTTTCAGATCCCAGCCAAATGAAGGTTTGCTTCCTCACTATATTGATCTCCTTCTCTTTCTTCTTTTTATATCCATCATATTTGTAAATTTTGTTCCCTTGTCACCTTCCAAAGTGGTCTAACATATTCAAATTACAGTTACTTAATTCTTTTCACCATTGTTACCTGGGTTAATAATGAATGCTTTTATTATGGGATTAATTCATTTTTAGGGTGTGTCTTAAGTGTTGAAATGGAGGATAGAACTTTTTGTTTTGGTCCAGAAAATTGAAGTCTTATTATTCCTTGGTTTTAAAGTGACTCAAAAACGCACATAATCCTTGCTGTCCTGCTCATAAATTGTTTGTTACTTTAAATAAGGGCGCTTTACCTTTTTGAGTCATGACTTGAAATGATTGAACTGCGAGTTACAGCATAGAGGCAAGATTTCCCTATTCCTGACTAATAATTTGGTCATGTGATACTAGGTAAATTGGGAGTGATTTTGTTTGTATTTACTGAGACAACCAAAACTAGATTTGTTCATATTGATTTATGATATATGTGTGATTATTGTGAGGGAATGAATAGCCTTCTATTTGCATCTCATTACTGTAAACAATATCATTCGAAACTTTTCAATACGTTACTCTATTCTGATTTTACAGACTAGCGTTACCGAGACTAGTGCAGCCGAACTTGCTAAGCTGCTTTATTGGTTGATGGTGGTTGGGTACAGCATTCGCAATATTGAAGTTCGTTTTGACATGGAAAGAGTACTTGGCACTACTCCAAAACTGGCTGAGTTGCCACCGGGTGAAAATGTTTAAGCAATCTTGAATAAAGTAGTAGGTCATCGAAGAACTAATGTCCGCAAGTTACTGATGGCATAATTAGATTTTGCACTTTTTTTGTTGATTGGCTGGAATGGCCACATGACCTAAAAGAGATGTCTGCATTTTTCAGCGGCCTTAAATGATTGGTCTCCGAATATTTATTTAATATATCTGGTAAATAACATTTTTCTTCTGGTCCTATGAAACTTCTATTCGCAATTACGCTGACAACGATATCAAGGTTGATTCCCAAAGGATGTCCTATGCCTCTATTTTTATGTTTGACAGTCTAAACCCTGGTGATTCTTTATAAAGACAGCAGTGATCTTGGTTCCTTTTCAGCGTTTCCATATTGGCCAGAGTGCATCAAGGTATATTCTGTTTCTCATGTGTGGTGTAGTGAGCAGGTATTCTTCCTAGTTTAGTTTTTAAATTTTATGTTTTTAGTTTGTTACTTATATAACTATGTCATTATTTTAATTTCTAATTTTATTTTATATATATATATATATATATATATATATATATATATATGCCCTTTAATTGTATTATATTTTAGTTCTATTAATTTTGGAAGAATTATTAGTTTTGAGTTACTAAAATCTGAAAAGTATTTTTTTACTGTTACCGGAAGCCTATACTATAGTTGAAAATCTCTCAGCCAACAATTTGGCGGTACTGTACGTGTCCTTAAACATTGGCCCAGTTTCTACTAGGATTTAAGTATTGATATATTAAACAGAATTAGCTGATTTGTTTAATGGCTGAAGGATTTAAGTATAGTAATCAATAATTTTATAAATGTAACATCTTTTCGCTAAACAAGTAAGAATATGTATTTGGTAAACTAGCGATATAATTAACGTAATTTTGTTTACCTGATTTTAAATATAAATTATAGTGCGCATATAATACTTGATATATAATTTTATATTATATTATGTTATAAAAACAAACTATCATACATAAACAAAATAAACCCACTGAAATAGTGGTTCTATTGTACTTGTAGCTTGGGTTTGAGTCTATAATATAAATGAGTAAAATTGTTATATTGTACTTGTGTACTTGTAGCTATACCTGGATGATTTGGTCCTGGTTTAGCCCCCGAACTCCACGGCTCTCTAATAACCGAATCTCTATCTCCTTTTCCACCTAAAGCAGCTTCTTTGACGTTCAAAACAAGACAGTAATACTCATCTTCACCCTCAGCGGATCCATTCCAAGAACCTCTGCTGCTCCCCATGCCACCCACAGCTAATAACTGTTGTTGGGCTAAAATAGTCATCAGGATCCACAGCTAATTAGGCAGATTGATATCTGAAGAGTAGCACGGATGGCTGGAAGCAGCCAGGTATTGTAAGGCTGTACACAAGTACATGGGCACCCAGGCAATCCAGTACTTCAATTATACAATGATTGAAACATAAGGCTAAAACATTATATTTAAGTTAAACTCTTTGCTAAAACAACTATACTTCAATTAAACTCTTTGCTAAAAGTTATATTTCAGTGAAACATGTTAGTATCCAAATCAAATTCCACTTTCATTTTATTTGTACACAACAAAGAACTAGAAAGGTCTCTAAAACGAATAAAACAGCCTAGTATAAAAAACATAAATATCAAGGATAAGTAAAATGTTATCTTGTATAATAGCTTTACTGAATAAAAATACATCGCATAAGAATTTAAAGATTATGTTAAAAATCTAAGATAATGTTTTGAAATTGTCGTGACGACGAACCGTAACTTTTTTAAAGCTACAGGATTATTAATGTATTCTACATTTTAAAACTGCAAATTGAGGATTTCCTTCCCTATGTTTGTTACGACACAATGAAAATTGGGTAAACATTTGTACTTTTTAAACATTAGCTTGACGAATAGGTTGGAGGTGGTGATCGACAATCAGATGTTAAAAAGGATTCAAATCTAGCAACTAGGTGCGTCAAATAATATGTGCATGACGTGATTTTTTTTCAGACAATTGAACTAAATATGGGTGGAGACCACAATTTATCCGTTATTTACCTGAATTGCATATTTCTACTGTAAGGTTGGAATTTGACTCGCGGGACGCTAATTTCGACCTTAAAATTAATAGAATTTTTAAAATATAATAATATTTATTAAATATAAAAATATATATATATATATATATATATATATTTAAAATTATATATATATATATGAAATAAATAAAAATATAATTTTTTATATAACATAAAAATATATTTATATAATTATATTATTAAAATATTTTTATAAATACAATAAATACAAATATATTTAATATATATATATATATATATATTAAAATATTTATTTATATTTTTATAAATATAATAAAATTTAATAAATATATTATATCTTTCTACATAACATTTTTACATAAATAAATTATATATATTATTTAAATATATTTTGAATATAAAATAATTTAGTAAGTAAATTAATATTTTTTTATAGAAATATATAAATATTTGTATTATATTTTAATATTTTTATAAATATGGTAAATACATATTTATATTTTGTTATATACCTAATAACTTTATTAAATATAATATATATATATATATATATATATATATATTATATATTTAAATATTTAATAAATACTTTTTATATAAAATATTTTTAGGAAATACAAATTATAATTTTCTATTTTTTCCATAGAAATATATGAATATTTGTAATAGATATAAATATAGTTATTAAATATATATATATATATATATATTAAATAAATATACATATTTATATATGTAAAATATTTGTTTATATTTTATATATAATAAATATAAATATATATTTTTAAATATAAAAATATATTATATAATTATATGTTTAATATATATGTATGTACTTTTATAAATATATATATATATATATATATATATATATATATATATATATATATATATTATATATATATATATATATTTATATATATATATTTATATATATATATATTTATATATATATATTTATATATATATATTTATATATATATATATATATTTATATATTTAATATATATATATATATATATGATAATATATATTTATATAATATTTAAGTATTTATTTAATAAAAAAGATGTTTAGTAAATAAATATAATATTTATACAAAAAATAATTTTATTTAACTTTGATACAATATAAAACAGATTTGGTATAAATATTTTGTTAAAATTTTGTATAAATAGAAATTTGAATTAGATAATTTGAGTAAGATATATAATTTGAATTAAAGTGAATTGATATTTTAGATATTAAATCAATGAAACATGAATAAACAAGTTAGAAAACCACAAATGAGTAGAATAATTAATTATTTATTTATTTATTATAATGCCATATTACAAAACTACAATAGATTTATCTATGAGAAGTTGATCCCTTAAGATCAGGGTTATGTGGATAATGATTTTTTGTGTGACCTGGAGTGTGACAATAGGATCATTTCTTTGGGTGATCTTCTTCACGGATATTCATTTCAATCCTAATTCGTGTTGAATTTGGACAATCCTTAGAACTTCTTCTTGTTGCTGGATTGGGGCAAAGTTGTTGATATCTATTTCAATCCTAATTCGTGTTGACTTTGGACGATCCTTGAAACTTCTTGTTGTTGGGTTGGGGCAAAATTATGAGCCTTGATGTGATGACCAATAATCTTCGTGCCTAAGCTCCTCAAACACATTGTCATACACTTTGTTGACTACATCCAACCTGTAAACATGGTTGATGTGCATCTTATAATCATGGTGAACATGTTTGCACACTGCAACCACATGAAGTTGTTATGGGGAGATCAACCACATTTTTGTAGAACTGTTTGTTTGAAATGCTCAAATGACATTCCTCTATGAATATGCATCATGATAATATTGTTACTACGAAATAAAACCCCTGTTTGAGGGCAAGGCACAATGTCACCATCATCAAAGATAATTGCTCGAATGAAAGAATCCATATGAAAGAAAAACCAATAAAAATGATGAAAATGCAGTAGGATAGAGAGGAGATAGAGGAAGTCTGAACTTATGAGGAATTGGTGTGGGAAATTATGGTAATGTACGACAAATTGGTGTGAGAAGTGATGGTAAAGTAGACTTTATATAGTAATGAGTGACATGAGAGTTAGGTAGTCATGTGAGTGGTAGGAGAGTTTGGGTAGGTATGTGAGTGACATAAGAGTTAGGTGGTCATACGAATGGTAAGTAAGTTTAGATAGACATGTGAGTGGAATGAGAGTTAGGTAGTCATGTGAGTGACATGAGAATTATGTAGTCATGTCAGTGGTAGGTGAGACCTAGTGACTTGACCAAGTTTGACGGTCCTCTGATACGAAGTAATGATGTGATAGACATTGATCGATGAGCTTACGTCGCATACGCATGGAGCAGAATTGACATGAACTTGTTTTTCTCATGCACCGATGACAAGACAACACACTGCACATGGGTTAGTCAAGAACCCAGTCTGACCACACGCTGACCTAAGAGCTTACGTCGCACACACGTGGAGTAAAACTAACATCAGCTTTGCTTTTCTCATGCACCGATGATAAGACAATACACTGCACATGAGTCAGTCAAGAACCCAGTCTAACCACATGCTGACCGAGGAGCTTACATCGCATACGAGTGGAGAAGAACTTACATTAACTTTTCTTTTTCTCATGCACCGATGACAAGACAACATATTGTACATGAGTCAGTCTGACCACACGTTGATTGAGGAGCTTATGTCGCATACATGTGGAATAGAACTGACATGAACTTTGCTTTTCTTATGCACCGATGACTAGTGGTTTACAATACCGAAAGCCATCAATGCATGAATTAAAGGTCCAGAATAGTCTTTTAAAGTATACCTTGTCATTGACAGAAGCTAGTTGTTGTGTTGCCAATCGGTAGTAGAAACCAAGAATAAATTGTGACTTGACTTGTAATAGGTTAGGGGATTTTTTGAATGATTCTTCCCAATTACCGTAGACATTTTCAATTTCTTGCTTCTTTGCTAACCAAGCCTTTCTATATGTCACAATGTATCCAACTGAGGACTTGATATGAGCAATAATATTTGCAATAGGTGTTGAAGGGTTTATGTCCATAATTTCACAAATATGTTGTGAAATTATGCGTGACCCCAACTTATTGTGATTTTGTGATATCAAAAGCGTAGCACATGTGTGGGCTCCTTCTATCTTTTGGATCTCCCAAAATTGTTCTTTGTGATATCAAGATCGTTTGACACTTCCAATTGTTATGACTCTCAACACACTGCACTCTTAATCTGGTGGTGTTGGAATGTATGACTTTGTAGGTACAATGATTAATTATATGAAACTTGTTAAGTACGTCAATTACTTTTTCCTTGTTTTGGAACCACATTCCCTTAAATAATGATCCAGGTGGATGTTTCACTGGTTCATGGCCAAATGCATCACCAAACTCACTATTTTGTTCATAAGTTTAGACCACTAATTTTGTCCGGCCTCGCAAAAAATTTCAAAAATCCTCCGTTTCGAAGATGGACAAGACTTCATTAGGCCCCTAGTAGCATTTTCTAGGCTCCATTTAAGAAAATGAGGGTTTTCTTAGAAAAATAAAATTAGGGTTTTTGTTAGAAGACTGGGACGACCGTCCTAGATCCAGACGACCATCTCAACCCCCTTGGGGGCTTGGGACGGTCGTTCCAAAATTTCATACGGCCGTCCCACTTGACAAAATCCGGGACGGTCATCCCGACCTCTTAGATCCGCAAGCCTATATATAGGAGCTCATTTCTCCCATTTCCACACACTTCTGCACCTTGGATTGAGAGCTCTCTACTCTCTCCTACTCTGAAACATTTTTCGGCCATTTTTGCTTTGTTTCGGAGTCCAAGTAGTCTTTTCGGTTATCCTTTTTGGATTAATCGGTTAAGGAAGTCTCCTTTTGAGACATTTGACGCTCGGTAGGATAATAATTTTACTGTTTGTGGGAGGAGTGCTCTTGTAGATGGAGGGGACTGCCAAAAAACGTCCTCACATTCTCAAGAGATATATATATAAAAGTTCGCTTCGGAGGTTCCTTTTTCTATTCCTTCTCTTTTACTGCTTTCCTTTATCGTTTTCTTTTGTGTGCATTAGAAATTAAGGCCATGTAGATATTTAATTACTGCAAGTAGATAAATAAATAGGGTAGAAACATAATTTTTATGTCTTTATTCTAAGATTATTCCATCATAGGAACCCGAAAGGGGCGTTGTGGGGTGTTAACACCTTCCCCACACG